GTCTGGCAGGCATTGCCTTGTGACTATCTTGTGACTCTGTACTTTTACACATCCTGGTTTCTGGAATCTGAACTGACTGGTTTCAGTAACTAATGGCCTATTCCCAAAAGGAGAAATTTTGGGCCTTAATTTTAGGGTGAAAGCATTTTGGTCTTATTTCTAAGATGGCTCATTTTGGTCTCACAGAGGGAGACAGGAAGAAAGAGAAGAGAAGGTGAGGGGTCGAGGGTGCATAACTCTTGGGGATGGAGAGAAAAGACAGCAGAAGAGAAAGGAGAAAGGGAGAGATTTTTTCCTTAAAATGAGGCTTTTATGTCAGGACTCAGGGTGGCACCAAGGGGTGGGATTTCAAGGTGTGGGTCAGAATATCAACATTTAGTGAAACAATTGACCTATACTAGATGCACAAACGCAATTTACAGGTTTCTAAGTGTGTCCTGGAATCTTCTTTCCAGCAGACACAGAGCTCACGCTGTAGAAAATCAAGCCACAGCTCTTATTAAAAAGTTGACTGGATTAATGAAAATTCCAGTCCCAGCCTCAGGGGGTGTCAGTGGTTCAAGTAAGGGCACTGACTAGTGAGGAAGAGGATCCTGTAACATGGGATAGAGATGTGTGGGAGGACCCAATTGAGGTTGTGGCCTTTGAACCCTCAGATTCTAAGGTGTTTATCTCACACGAGGAGGTAGTTTCTTCACTCTCACCAAATGATGTATCCCAAATCCCACATCATAGTGGAATTACTCCTTCATTGTCTGTCAGACCAGCAATAACTTCACCTTAAGGAGACTCCAGGCAAGACAATACTGATGTCTGCCAGGGACCACCAGTAGTTGCTTCTACTATGATCACTCTTAAGTTTGAACAGGCTCCTAGAGGTAGGATTGACATTTTAGTCCATGAGGATGGATGTTTTACCATTAAAGATCTTAGTGAATTTGCTAATCCATTTAAGAAGAAGTCTGGGGAGGAGTGTGGCAATGGATTTTAAAGGTGAGAGATAAAGGTAGAAGGAACGTAAAACTAGATCAGGCTGAGCTGATATGGACCTACTGAGTAGAGATCCTGAGGTTAATATGGAAGCCCAAGTATTTTTTAAGTTGTTTTTTTTTCATTTTACATACCAACAATAGTTCCCCCTCCATCCCCTCCTTCTGCTCACCCTCCCATATTCTCCCTACCCTGCCTCCCTTCCACTCCTCAAGAGGATAAGGTTTCCCATGGGGAGTCTACAAAGTCTGGCATGTCAAGTTGAGGCAGCACCAAGCTCTGTGGTGATATAGTGTGTACCCTAACAAAATTTACCTGAAGATCAGAGAACAGAACAAACCACTAGATTAAACATAGAGGCCAGGCACTGGTGGCATACACCTTTAATCCCAGCACTTGGGAGGCAGAGATCCATCTGGATCTCTGTGAGTTCAAAACCACCCTGGACTACATGAGATTGTCTCAGTCTAAGAGAGAAAACAGAGCCAGGCAGTGGTGGCACACACCTTTAATCCCAGTACTGGGAGGCACACACACGCCTTTAATCCCAGGAAGTGATGGCTGGGCAGAGAAAGGTATATAAGGTATGAGGAGACAGGAAATAAAGGCTTTCTTGCAAAATCATCCCTTTCAGCTAGAGGCTTTTTTTTTTGGGGGGGGGGGAGGCTGGAACCTTTCAGGTGAGGACTCAGAAGATTTCAGTCAGAGGATTTGTGGAGTTGGTGAGGTGAGATGTGGCAGTGGCTGATTCCTTTGTCTCTCTGATCTTTCAGCATTTACCCCAATATCTGGCTCCAGGCTTTTTATTAAAAGACAATTTAAAATTTGAGCAATACACCCCTTCACCCTGTATAGAGGCTAAGCAAGGTGTCCCTCCATAGAGAATGGGCTTCAAAAAGCCAGCTCATGCACTAGGGATAAATCCTGGTTTCACTGCCAGTGGCCCCATAAACTGCCCAAGCCACACAACTGTCAGCCACATTCAGAGGGCCTAATTTGGTCTCATGTAGGTTCTCCAGCTGTCAGTCCAGAATCAGTGAGTTCCAACTAGCTCAGGTAAGATGTCCCTGCTGGTTTCCCCATTATGAGCTTGACCCCTTTGCTCATATA